ACTTGAAAACCAAAATAAACACAATAAAGAAAACATAAACCAATGGAATTATAAAAATGGAAATTATAAGAAAATGATCAGGAACCACAAATGCAAGCATAAGCAGCAGAGTAAAAGAGATGGAAGAGAAAATCTCAAGCACTGAAGATACAATAGAGGAAATAGACTCATCAATCAACAAAAACATTATATCTAACAAAAGCATAACACAGAATATTCAGGAAATATGGGACACCATGTAAAGACCAAACCTAAGAATAATAGGGATAGAAGAAGGAGAAGTCCAACTTAAAAACATAAAAAATATATTCAATAAAATCATAGAAGAAAACTTCCCCGGTCTAAAGAAAGATATGCATATGAAATACAAGAAGCTTACAGAATACCAAAAAAACTGGAAGAAAAAAAGTCCCCATGCCACATAATAATGAAACACTAAACAGCCAGAATAAAGAAAGGATATTAAGAGCAGCAAAGGAAAAAGGCCAAGTAACATAAAGGCAGACCTATCAGAATTACACCTGACTTCTCAGTTGAAACAATGAAAGCCAGAAGGTCCTGGTCAAGCACTATGCAGACATTAAGAGACCACTGATGCCAGCCCAAACTACTATACCCAGCAAAACTTCAATCACCATAGATGGACAAAATAAGATATTCCATGACAGAACCAGATTTAACCAATCCCTAACCACAAACCCAGCCCTACAGAAAGTACTAGAAGGAAAACTCCAACCTAAGAAAGTTAGCTACATCCACAAAAACACAGACAATAGATGATCTCACAGAAGCAAATTCCAAAGAAGGGAAGAACATAAAAATTAACATCACTAACAATGAAAACTAAAATAACAGGAACTAGCAATTATTGGTCATTAATTTCCCTTAATATAAATGGACTCAACTCACCTTTAAAAGGCACAGGTTAATAGATTGGATACAAAAACAGAATCTATCCTTCTGCTGCATACAAGAAACACACCTCAACCTCAAAGACAGACATTGTCTCAGAGTAAAAGGTTGGGGAAAAATTTTCTAATCAAATGGACCTAAGAAACAAGCTGGTGTAGCTATCCTAATATCTAATAAAACAGACTCCAAACTAAAATCAGTCAAAAGAGACCCAAAAAAGGACATTTCATATTAGTCACAGGAAAAATCCATCAAGAGGAACTCTCAATACTAAACATATATGTCCCAAATACAAGGGCACCCTCATATGTAAAAGAAACACTACTAAAGCTTAATCACACATTAAACCCCACACACTAATAGTCGGAGACTTCAACACTCCACTCTCACTACTGGACAAGTCAGTCAGACAAAAAATCATCAGAGAAATAAGGGAACTAACAGATGTTATGACTCAAATGGACTTAACAAACATATATAGAACATTCCATCCAAACATAAAAGAATATACCTTCAAAAAAACTGAACACATACTAGGTAACAAAGCAAACATCTATAGATGCAAAAAAATTGGAATAACCTCATGTATCTTATCGGATCACCACGGCTTAAAATTAGAATTCGACAGCAACACTAATTTCAGAAAGTCTACAAACTCAGGGAAATTAAAAAATGCTCACTTAAATCATCAATGAGTCAGGGAAGAAAGAAATGAAAAAAAAAAAGACTTCCCAAATTCAACAAAAATGACCACACAACACACCCAAATGTATGGGACATAATGAAAGCAGTGTTAAGAGGAAAACTCATAGCACTAAATGCCTACTTAAAGAAGATGGAAAAATCCCACACTAGTGAGTTAACAGAGCACCTGAAAACTCTAGAACAAAAAGAAGCAAACCCACCCAGGAAGACTAGACAGCAAGAAATAATCAAATTGAGAGCTGACATCAACAAAATGGCACATTTATGCTGTTTGAAATTATATCATTATAAAACCTGGAAAAAAAGATTGGGGAACTTTTCTTCCTTAAGCATTTGATCCCCAAATTAACAAGTTGATCTCAGAAGTGCTTTGGCTCATATGGCTGTAAAATAAAAACAGCTAACATTTGACATGTTTATTGCATGCCAGCCAGTGGACTAGATGCTTTCTGGACATTATATCGTTTTCATGAGTGTACAATTTCCCCCACTCTCTAAGGCGAAAATTAAGGCTCTGGGAGAAATTATTTGGGTAGTGTTGCACAGCTGGTAATTGTGGGTTGGGATTTAAACACTGGTGTAATTCATGAACCGCATGCCTGTGAAGAAACCAAATAGCATTTGCTTGTGTGCCTTCAGTACCGGGGAGTGCACGTATTGCTTAGCTGTATAAAACTTGACCAGAGAAGGGAGATGACACCAACCATTTGGGACCAGAGCTCTTGTGTACTTGTCTCTTAGTTCTCAATGACAGGGATAAAATGGATGAACTCCCAGTGCACGTGACCGTCACACATGTGATTAAAAACTAACGTTGGGGAAATCAGAAGAACTTCACTTAAGTCTTATGACCAGTCAATAGCAGAACTAGGATTTGAACACAGGTCTTCTTATTCCAACGCCTTTCTGATTTCCCAGTTTTCATTTGATTCAAACATGTGAGTAGCGACAAAGAAATGAGTGCTGGCCTCATTGAGCACTTCTTTTGTTCAGACCCCCCGCCATGTCGCTTGGACTGGCCCCTTGGTCATTTCCCATCACTGTCCACAGCACCCAGTCATAGACTCTTCTAAAGGGCCCTCAGCAAAAGAAGGGAGAAAGAAAACATGACCTCAAGGCTGGAGAGATGGCTCCATGCTTAAGACCACCTGCTAATTTGGTTCTCAGGACCCACACAGAGCAGCTCACAATGTATGTGACTCCAGCTCTAGGGGAATCCGACACCCTTTTCTGGTTTCCATGAATACTGCACACACACACACACACACACACACACACACACACACACACACACAGAGAGAGAGAGAGAGGGGGGGGGGGAGAGAGAGAGAGAGAGAGAGAGGCATGCACAAATAAACACACATGCACAAACTCACACGCATAATCTTAAAAGGAAACACTGTCTGCATTCACAATAGAGGTTTACTCCACCTTGAAGAATGAAATCACTCAGTTTCAAGGGATTGGTTAGAAATGGAAACTGTCGTGCTGGGTGAAATAAGGCAGACTAGTTTTCTCTTCTATGTTGGAATCAAGGCGAAGAAAATATTAGAAGTTGTGGAAGGAGAGAAGGGGGAGGGGAGGGAGGCATAAGAAGTGAACTGACTGAACTACATTATACACACACACGTAGACATACTCTAATGGAACCCAGTACAATGCACCATTAACACTAGCAAACAGCGATGCTACGCTTGTGTGTGGATTTCCTCCAGCTGAGCTCAAACCCTTTTCCCCCTGCTGGACACCTGCAGTCGTGTCCACCTCACCACCCCGACCCACACTGCCCTGTAAGCTGCCCAGCCTCTGCTCCTCCGGGCTGAACAGTTCCTAGCCTAGTCTGCTTTCTCATGCCCAGCCAGGTCCTCTAAACGTGGCTTTGTTTATTTTCAACCTTCAGAAAACACTCCGTGGTTGCTGAATGCAGAGGAAGCAGGCAGACCCAGACTTCCTGTGGAGAGGAAGGTCAGATTCGGTCTTCAGACAACGGAGAGAAAATAGCGCTGTTGGGGGGAGGCCGTTTGCGTTCCGTAGAGAGTCGTCCTGCCATGGGAGGGGGCCGAAGGAAGATGGAGCCTTGGTGAGATCAGAACCCTCACAGCGGCTGCGGAATAAAATACAGCCAAGGAGAAGGCGTGCGTGCGAATCAAAATATACGGGTTAAATTGCTGCGGGCTGGCACGGAGCAGGGGATCAATAAATATCGGCCGGCATTAACATCTGCTCGGCCGTTGACGCTTCCCAGCGTCCCTAGCAGCACCCTGGGCTAGCCACGTGTGTTATTTCTTTAATCCTTAGCTGTTGGTAGTAGTAATCCTGCAGTCCCCAATTTAAAGACCCAGAAATCCAAAACTCACAAAGTTAGGTTTCTTACCTCAGTAAGTAAAACCTTGGGGTTTAGAACCAAACAGTTTTGGGCTGAAATGTTAGCCAGTTCATACAAACAGCGCATTGTATATTGTAGGCTCCCAGTAAATGGCATACCCACACATGTGTACACACACGCACATACACACACACATACACACACATGTATACATCTGTATCTGTGCATGCGTCTTAAAGGACATGCAGGGGTTTTCGTGTGCGAAGGGCAATGGGCACCTGTAGGTGTAATTGTGGAGACACACATTTGAGCATTCAATACAAACCCTGAGAAAATACTCTTAGATGAGAAACAGGAGGAAACTGACTTTGAAAGGAAGAAATCTCATAGGTGAGTAGAGAGAAGGCTGGAATCCTCGGGCCTGACTAGAAACAAACAAACAAACAAACACCTCCTCCATCCCTACCCCCCAAAATGAGTTTTGGACGTCGTGGCTCCTGGCCAGCCACCTGCTCCACAGCCCACTTCCAGCAACCAGGAAGCAGTTCTGCCCTCACCTCCACCAATCCCAGCCAAGGAGGAAGCTCTCGGGGCGTCGTCCCGTTGCCAGGTAACCAAGCTAGCCCCACCAGGCAGTTAGGCCTCAAGGCTGAGCTCGGAGGTGGGGCTGCCTTGCTCCCTTGGCTCGCTGGCCGGGCAGCGAGGGTGGGACTTTTGTCTGTAGAGTTTTATATTTTCAGCTCACGTTTTATTTTGCTTATAAAGAAAGTTATTCACGCCTTAGAAACAGAGGAGACTTACAAAGTGAGTTTGTGCACATGAACCGTCCCGGCTTGCCTGGTGGACCTTACCAGACTCCCCCTGCCTGAGACACCAGATGGTCAGCTTTCTAACTAGTCCCTGGAGAGGCCTCCTTACTGTCCCCGGACTTGGACTTGAAGGGCTGGGAGACTCTTCTGGATATTTTCACACCAGTGAGTGCTGAAGTCAAAGATTCTGGAAAGGGCAATCGAACCGTTCTCGTGGAGGCACGGGTTAAGCCCGAAGTATTTTAAAGATGACCAAAGTGCCAGCCACCAAAAAGTTACAGAGTGTCCCCAACAAGAAAGCCCTTTGGCCTTCTCATGCCTCAGATCAACAACCACAGGTGAGTCTCCTCTCTGCTGAACCAGAGAAATGGATCAGGTTCGCCTGCCTGGGAGGGGGGAAGGGATGAGGGCCTAGATATAATTAAATTGTCCAGACATCCCGTCGTTCTGGACGGTTGGTTTCTCACAGAGAATGAAAACACGGATCCGAACTGTGAGCTGGGCCCATCCCATTAGCCAGTAATTCCAAAACGATGGCTAAATCGACAGGGACTGTAGAGCATCAGGGGGAAATGAAAATGAATTGTAGGCTGGGATCACAGAACTTAGCTCCAGAGATCTGCCGGGCAAGAGATAAGCCCTCCCTCTTACTTTGTGGAGAGACTGGCTGTGGGGTATCACTCTTGGGGTCGAAGGTTGGGCTGGTTGCAGCGCCTGCTGTGGTCATCAGGTGAGTTTCTCCACATCTCAGAGCCTTCCTCTCCTCCTGCCTGCTGAGGTGGGCATGTCAACTAGGCCTACATCAGGACCAAGACGGTAGCTGGTCTATCTCCATGTGTGTGTGCGGTGGGTCTGGGACAGGCTATCCTGTCTTTGGTGCAAAGGTCAGAGCTGGGTAGATGATGTTTGAAGCAGTTTAACTTTGATGTCTCAAACGTCTCACTCCGCCACGGTTAGCTAATGGAGGGCGGTAGGGAGAGTGGTTGCCAGCCCACTCTGGTCCACCCACAGGGATTCAGGAGGTCTCAGAGTCATGCCCCAGGAAGGATGACCTGTGGTAAAGGAATCTTTAAACTCTCTAGGAAAGTTCCAAGGCAGCTTCTTCTGTTTTTTCAAGATTTTATTATTTTTGTATTATGCTTATGAGTGTTTTGCTACTGTGTACCTGATACCCCAGAACTGGAGCTAAAGATGACCAAGTTGCTGTGTATGTGCAAGGACTCAAACCCTGGTCCCCTGCAAGAACAGCGAGTGCTATTACCCTCTGAGCCGTCTCTCCAGCCCCAAGGCTGCTACTTTTGAAACGGTGAAGCATCTTTACTCACCCCGCCTTGCTCTGCCCACTGGGGATGAGGCCCAGCTGTGTGTGTGTGTTTCTCCTGTCATCTCTAACGGCTTCACTGAGGACGTTTGACCCAGAGCTTCCTCCCCAGAATCAAACTTCAAGGTAGAGCAGGAAGGGAAGGAAGGGGGACTGCGTGTGAGATGCTTGTCACAGGAGCGGGTTCAAGGGACCGCCCACATGGCTGCCTGACTCCCATAAGGTGTTCTCTGACTATAGGAAGTGGGTCTCAAGAAGATGATCACATAGTCCGAAGAATTTTGGAAAGATAAACAGCCACACTTTTCCCAGAGGATGCCTAGCAAGCAAGCAGACAAACAAGCAAACATACCCAGTGGGAGTCCATTTGAGTTTTTTTCCTAATGCAGAGGGGTCCTGTGTAGTAGTAAGAGCGGCGGGGCTGTGTGCCCGGCACCCGGCCGCCCACATGGCTAGCTCTAGCTTATGCCCCGAAATAATTACACGGAAACTGTATTCTTTTAAACACCGCTTGGCCCATTATATCTAGCCTTTTCTCGGCTAACTCTCGCACCTGGACTAGCCCATTTCTAAATATCTGTGTAGCCCACTAGCTGGCTTACCAGGAATGATCTTAACCTGCGTCTGCCTGGAGTGGGAGAATCATGGCGACTCCTTGACTCAGCTTCTTTCTCCCAGCCTTCTGTTCTGTTTACTCCTCCCACCTATGTTTAAACCTATCAAGGCCAAAGCAGTTTCTTTATTGCTTAATCAATGAACTCAACAGAATGATATCTGACACTCCCACATCAGTCCTGTGTCTCACTCCTTTTATTATTATTATTATTAAATTTTATTTTATGTGCATTGGTGTGCCAGATCCCCTGGAACTGGAGTTACAGACAGTTGTGAGCTGCTATGTGGGTGTTGGGAACTGAACCTGGGTCCTCTGAAAGAACAGCAAGGGCTCTTAACTGATGAGCCATCTCTCCAGCCCTGTGTCTCACTCTTGAGTGATGTGAGCTCCGCATCAAATTCCCATGCCATTGGCTAATTCAGAGCATCCGTTTCTAGGAAGAAAGGAGAGCTGTGCACATATTTTTGATCCTAACAAGTGCTGGCCCTGGAGGAATTTGAGTTTCTATTAAGTGGATGCTTTACAGTTTTTTTTTTTGATGGAGTTTGTCTTATTTAACTTTGCTAGGAAAGACAATACATTTTGTTTGCATTTCTCATATGACCTCCTCATACACACCATGGCACACACATAAAATAAATAAATAAATTTATTGTAATTTTTAAAGACATCTCTTCACTGCTGTTCCTCTTCCTAAGACATATGATGGGCTCAGGGTATCGCTGACCATCATTCAGAAGATCATACCTTCTGAACATCAACATTTTAGAGCCACTGGAATGCACTGATTAACCCTACCTTGGCTATGACAAACTATAGGGAAATATGTGGCTCAAAGACAAATCCTGGGGCCGATAAAACTAATAATAATGTCAGTTGCCACCACCATGGTGATGCCTAGCCTGTACTGAGCATCTGCCGGATGTAACATTCAGAGCCAAAGCGTCGGCAGGTGTGAAATCCCCATAGCCTTCTACAGTCTGTCAAGACCTGTAGATGCAAGAAGTACCAAGGCTCAGAGAGGACAGGACCTAGGCAAGGGGCAGCACTGGGATTCGAACTGGAATCCCGCTCAATCCAGAGTTCAGTCCCTCTCTGTATCCCTATGCTGACTCAGAGGTTGTCCTGCTTGGTGCCCAGCATGTAAGGGGCACAAAACCAGTCAGATGGTTTTCTAGGCCTGTTTTGGAGAGGGAAGGGAAAGATGTATAAAAAGAGAATTTCAAAATGCAGTACTGGAGGAGGAGTGTAGGAGGGATAGCTCCCATGAGTGATTAGGCATCCCCAGAAGGAAGGTGGGGCCATCCTTGCCATAATTGCCAGCTGCTGGCGCAGCCACAGATGACTCCAAAGTCTCTGAGGCTTGCCATTTCTCCTTCTCACAGAGAGAAAGGCTGTGAGGTCAGAATTAGTGTTACATAGATGGCTTTCGTGTGCAGCCTCATCATGTGACTATGTTCTGCTGGGTTTTTGTGTGCGTTTTTTGTTTAGTTTTCTTTCTCCCAACAGAAGGAATATAAGCATGTAAATCCCCTGGTTGAAATCTTTTGTTGAAGCAACCTTGTAGATGGGGTTTTCTTTTCCTGCCAGATCACTCTCAAATAACCAGAGTTTTGTTAATTCTAAACATTTGGCCAATAGCTCAGGCTTATTACATTTGAAGTTAACCCATATCTCTTACCTACCCTCTGACACGTGGTGGTATTAGCATGGCATGCTCACCTCCTCTTCCTCTGGCTGATGACCCTCTCAACTCTGCCCCTTGTCTTCCCAGTGTCCTTAGTTTGGCTCTCCCGCCTAACCTTATCCTGTCCAGTTATTGACCAGCTTCTTTACTAAACCAATCAAGCAACATCTATTCACACAGTGTAAAGGAATATTCCACAAAACCTTCCTGCTCCCTAATCTGTTTAGTGGTTCTGTTTCCTTTTGTCCCCCACAAGAAGCTGGAGGGAACCTAATAGAGCAATCACAGTAGAGGAGGGTTCCTGTGGAGGATTTCAGGGAACCCACAGTTTCTGACTCAGAAAAGGCTAGGGGCCTTATCAAACAAACATCCCCTCCATATTCTAGAAAAGTGATGACGTTGGCTCTCGGTGCCTGGACTTCCTACCTTGCCATCATTAAATCCCAAGATAGAAAAGAATGGCCTTAACTTGGCCAGATCCTAAAACTTTCAGAATGACATTTTTTTTTTTTTTGACTTTTTGAGACAGGGTTTCTCCGTAGCTTTTGGTTCCTGTCCTGGAACTAGCTCTTGTAGACCAGGCTGGCCTCGAACTCCCAGAGATCCGCCTGCCTCTGCCTCCCAAGTGCTGGGATTAAAGGCGTGCGCCACCACCGCCCAGCTAGAATGACATTCTAGAAGTGTCTCTTCTAACTCAACAAGTGGCCCAAATAGTGAGCAGATTCTCCAATAGGCCAAGTAGGTTTCCACCCTGGAGGTCCGGTGACCTTAGGCAGATCACTTCCTCTCCATGCCCCGCTTTGCAATTCTGTGAAATATGCACATCACTTTTAAGTTTATATCTATTATTATTATTATTATGGGGGGGGCAAGGTCGGAGGGCACATGTCCCTCAGTACTCACAGTGAGGTCCAAGGAAATTCTCTCCTTCCATCTTTAACATGGGTTCTGGAACCAGGACTCAGATCAGCAGGTTTTTGCAGCAAGCCCCTTTACCTGCTGAGCCACCTCCGCAATCCCCATTTGTTTTGAAAACCAGGACCTCTTCTCTTTTATGGTGCAGCTTCTGTTTTATAATGGCTTTTGATTTGATTTATTTATTTATTTTGCATCACTATAACAGTAAGCTGTACAAGTTAAGGGGGTGCTGGGAAGGGGTTAAAATGTGAACCATCAGCTGCATCTTACTGCAGAGGAAGTTTGACTGAACGGCTCCACCCTGATAATACGGCTTCTAGAAACAGATGGGTGTGTGGGGGTAAAATTTAAACTGAGCTTGACATACTGTAAGCCGACTGAGCATCAGCTACCATGATGGTGGTGTTAAATCTCAGTAATGACCATAGGGTTAAGGTCTTATTGTTGGGTACATTGGGGCCCGTGGAGCCCCGAGGTCCAGTTCTCCGCTGAGAACTGGGCAGGCAGGTGATGAGGGAAGGAAAAGGGAAGCCAGGTAGGACGCCTGATACTGAACCCACCTGAGCATTCATGGCCAGGAGTCTGCAGAGCCTCGGCTCACTCTGCATTCAGGTGCCTGGAATCTAACAGGATGTCTTAGAAAGATACTCTTCTGCCAGAGGAAGCCCCCTAGCAGGATAGCCTGCTTCACTGTGACAGACAGGAGTAGGAGCTGCCGCCTGGAGAGGAAAAGGCCAGATGAGTCACTGCAGTTTGGTTGGAAGCAAACCTGGAGCCAGGCGCTCTCCAGACCGCT